GACCAGAAGAAGTGAAGTGAGGAAGTCCACGTGATCAAATCAGCGAAGACTAAGAAGACCTTCGCCTTCCAGGTTAATGGTCATCTTTCCAATGGGTATCTGGATTTCCTTACGCGTTCGTACCTTGACGGGATGTTTTTTTTGAAAGCTTGCGGATGTTTTTTTATTTAAATATATGTTTTTTATTTTTTTTTTAAAATACTTTTAATATCAATACACTAAACAATTAAAAAACATAAATAAAAATTAATTTTAAATAAATAAAATTAATATTTTTAAAAACGTAATTTAAAAGACAATTCATTTGGGTCCCTTCATCTTCAATGAGAAACCGTAATTGATAACTACTTACCTTTGGAAAAATTAAAAAAATATAAAAACCAATGCTTTGCAACTAAGATACATGGCGTCCATCATCATCAATCTGATAGTCCTAAACATTAAATAAAAAATATATATGCATAGGTCGATTATATTATTAAATATCATCTTAAAATCATAATTCAACAATTTATATATATTAAAATAATTAAGATTAAGTATAAAAAAAATTAAAATTCTGTTTAGTTTTAATCTAAATATAAATAATATATATATATATATTAAACTGAAAATACTATTTTATTTTTAATAAATAAAACTATATAAATATTATTAAACTATATATATATATATATTGTTTTTTATTATATTTACTTGGTGCAATTAAGTCTTAAATATCTGGAAATTTGATTTAAAAACACTCTATATTTACAAAGAAAAATTAAAGAGAGAGAGAGAGACAGAATAATTCCTGTGGTACGGTGCACTTTGAGTTTTAATTTTTATTTTATTTGTTAAGATGTGACAGATTTACATAAGTCAGCTTCATGTTTTCAAAAAAATATTGTCTTTTGTTTAAACGTAAGTGTGATTGGATCTCTCTCATTTCTTTTTATATGATTTATTAATATAATTCAGCTTCATTTTAAAAAAAAAAGACGATCATCTTCATTTTTCGGGTAGATACTATCATTGGTTTAAATGCATGTGTGATAGTCTATTTGTTTTTATGTTTCGATAATATTTTCAAATTATTTTAATATCACAACTAATTTTTTTCAAAATAAAAAATATTATTTTAATATATTAACAAATATCACCATTTTCTAAAATAATGCTTTCAAATATTTACGTACACGCCATTTCTTACACGCGTATGACCAACTTAGCTAAACGGCTCGTTTTTCAAGCTAATTGCATGCTTCAAGGGATGGATTCAATTTACAGTGAGAAAACACATCTAGCTTGATTTTACTATTATGTTCTCACCACTAAACACGTTGTTGTTTTAATTTTTAATTTTCTCAAATATAATCTACGTAAAAATACTAAATGAATATTTTTTAGCTTTTAAATTCAGAAACACTTAATTAATAAACTCTTTAAAATATGAGCACTCACATAATATTTATGCTTAAATAACAATATATAAAAATTGTAACGCTCAAGTAGAAAAAATAAATAACAAAAATAGAAATAGAAAATCCAATGGTCAATTTAAATTAATTTTTGACATTTGACCATCTAAAGTTAATTAATTAATCGACTTTAAGATAGAAGAAGCAAGAATTTACATAGAAGAGAAATGGTTAAGCACCGCCACCTTCAATAATTTGCGTCACCCGGTACGCAGTCGTTTTGGCCTTGCGTGTGAACGTGAGTTGACATGCCTGTGCTCCTTCCATAATTTTCTTTGTTCTACAATCCCTCTTTACCTGCCCAGTGTAACTATTCACATTCTGTGCATTTTGAGGCAAATATTATTTAATTATTTGCATCTTAAAATACGCAAAGAGTGTTCCATGACATTGTTTATAATATAATATAATATAATATAATATAATATAGTATAGTATAATTCAGTAGCCGAAGGTTCACGCATGCATGATTCTTCACTGTTTTTCATCTTCAATTCAATTCCTTTATGGAGGATTAAGATTTAAAAATCTCTCCCTCGTCCTCTTCCTTCGAAGTAGATACCTGACCATGAGACCTCTCGCTATAAAATTGTTTTCTTCATATCAACTAATATTATTCAGCTGAAAGTTTTAGTTTGGGAGTAAATTAAATTAACGTAAAAAAAAAAAGAAATACACAGTAGGCATGAGACTTCTCTAAGTCAGTCTCCACCGAAAAAGCCAAAAGAATTGAAGTCCGAGAAACATAGGACCAATGAGGAGACATGGGGCTCGTCAACCTGATCTACCTAAAGACATTTCTTAGGGTATTCAATGGTGCTTGCTTGCTTTTCTTTGTCAAAATGCGAGTAACAATTAATTAGTTTGTCAATCATAGTAGTTACTGGGTTATTGACCGTGCGAAGGATATGGAGATGATTTCCAGGGCAGACTCGGAGTTGAAAAGCATTTAAATCTCAGATTACGCAACCAATAATGCAAGAACATTGATGTTGAAGGTTGGATTAGAAAGGTAAAGAAAATTAAATAGCATTTTGTTTATATTTGGCGTAGCGGTTCAATTACCCTTTTGTTATTTTTTAAAGTTTTTTAAATTATTTTTTGGTGTTTTTAAATTATTTTGATTTATTAATATTAAAAATAAAAAAAAAATTATTTTAATATATTTTAAATAAAAAATATTCTTACATTCAATTTCTTTCCTTGCTTCGCCACCCTACAACACGCAAGTTGGAAAGCTGTGATCGAATGATCATAAAGGGTAAGGGAGCTAGTTTCTCGTTTTTACATTACATGTCTTGTCTTCTTGACCGTTTCCAATCCCAGCATGGATGTTTAAGGGGCACAAGTTGTCTTCGGTAAACGACAGCATGATTTAAAGCGTGTTTAAAAGTATATGTGTTTATTTTTTAAAATATTTTTTATTTTAAAAAATATATTAGTAATATTTTTTCTTTTTTAAAAATATATTAAAATAATTTTAAAATTTTAAAAACAAATTAATTTAAAGAAAAAATTCAATTTTTTTAAAATACTTTTGAAATACAATCTTAAATATGTCTTCAATGGTGATGCATTTTCTTTTAGTAATTGCGTACTCATAGGAGTAATGCATTTCCAATTAATATATGGTTAGAATCATTGCTTTATTCTCCGAAAAAGAAAAACTAAGTAGACATATAAATTAAAAATTGTTAATATAATTTGTTAAGATCATGGGATATGGATTTATCCAATTTATCATAATAATAAAAAAAAATTAATAGTGGTCAATGAAGCAAGATTTATTGTACTCTCAATTGCTACAATATAATAATGATTTTGTTATTCATAATATAAATCAAGGAAAGAAAAGTTATGAAATAAAATGATATTTTCACATGGTTTAATTGGTATTACTTAGAGTAAATCCATCTCTTCATAATTTTATTGCATATTTGAATTACTAATTACTCTTAAAATAAAATCTAAAAAAAAAAATTAAATGGGAATTTTTGTACTGTTCATCTTTTTTTTTGTATAGTATAATTATCTAGGTACACTTGAAATTTTATTTCTTTGAACTTGCTTCTAGGAGTGTTTTGATATTTTAATATGGTTTTTTGTAATTAAAAATTAAACAATTAGTGTTTTTATACATCATTCAGTTAGTTTTGATTCAAGCGAGTGCACGCGTGACTAATGTTCAAAGCCTATTTAGCTTAATATCTCTTTATTTAAAAGGTTTGGTGCACTACAAATCCAGTTTTTATTTTATTTATTTATTTATTTTTGGTGTCAAAGCCACTGTATATGTATATATAGTCAATCGTTAGAGTGGGGTATTGTGATTATAGTTAGGAAGGGGAAAGAATTGGATTAGTCGTGGTGCGCGCAAGCTGGCCCGGACACCCCACGTAAATCAAAAAAAAGTACACCAATATATACATAAACACACAAAAAAAAAAAAAAACCCAAAACAACGTCTGAATCACAAACGCACCCTCTGAGGGTGTAAGCACTGGAAACTTAAAAATTATTTGTCATATAACGGACGGAAATTATGTATTTCATTTTGGTATGGTTTTTTTTTAATTTGCAATGATTGTAACATCTATTATTCACTTTATGTTTTTGAAGAGTATAAAAGAATCTTTGAGATTGATCCATTTGTTACCAATCATGCTGGATGTCAACATATTTTGTCAACTCCTCTCCGTTGAGTTGTTATGATGATTATTTTTTAAAGAATTTTTATTTAAAAATATATAGAAATAATATTTTTTATTTTATTAATTTAATTTTGATATTAACAAATCAAAACCATATAAAAATATTTAAAAATTAATTTAAAAAAAATAAATAAAAAAGTTTTCAAAAACATTTTGAAAAATACAGAAACAAACAGTATATTCAAAAGGTAAGATAAGTCAATTGTTTTAATTTGATTGATTAATGTACCTTTTTTATTTTATAAAAGAAAGGGTTATTACACTTTTTGGCTTTTGTATCAGTGAAGTTGTCAGAGATTTTTGAAATTACACTATAACACAAACCCAAACCGCTGAAGAATAAAATTATTTTTTGATAAATAAAAGAAGAATAAAATTAAAATTGAAAAATAATAAACACGTACGCAAGCTAGAAGCGGCAGTGAGCTTTTGATGACGTGGGGTATGATCCTCTGCTTTCGATGTGAAATGAAGGGAGCCCAATACCTTTTTAAAAACACGACAGAAAGGGAATCCACCGTCATTCCACAGTGCCCAGACCCAAGTAATGAGAACACCTTTGGAGAAGGCTGCGAATCGTGTTCTCTCAATTTACACAAGAAAGAAAACAAGCGCTGTCAAGCAGGCACGAGAAACACTGAGAAAGGGACTCCTCCGAGTTCAATTTTCAATGCGATCATGCCTCGCATTGTCTCCACTCTTTCAGGGAATATAGACGTGCTGTGTCTCATCGAATTCAGGATCCCCTCGTTCCTCCGTGGGTGACGGCTGAGGAAAGCAACAGGTTCTAAGAATTCAAACACTCTGGGAGAGACGGGCGCCACACTGATTTCAATGAAACCCCATTTAAAAAATAAAATAAAACAATTTATGAAACTACAATCATACGAGGGTGAATATACAGATCCGTGAACCGTTACAATCTCAAAAACAAAATAAGTTGCTCACGCATGCGGATAATCCTACTTTCACTCTGTTGAAAGATAGTTGTGCAGAAATCTTCCAATTGAAGCAATTCAATAAATTTCTCTCAGAAGATTGGTATTTAAGCCAGAAAACACATTGATTACACTCCACTGGGTCAATTCTGTAGTACTGGTTGCTGCCAACAGTATCCAAAATGATTGGATTGCAGTAGATCCTGACAATCCCATTTCTAACTTGTTTCTTGATTAGGATTCCAAAGTAATCTGCGAGACGGTGCAGGCGGGGCTAATCCTGGAATATCCCGAATATCCTTGTTGCTTGGGTTCACGAGCTGAAAAATCAAGGGCAGTGATAAATAATGAATATTTACAGAAAATACATGGACACAAACAGATAATTGAAGTGAGAGAGTCAGCTTCACAAATAGTGTTTTGAAGAGAGCACAAGATTTGTTGTGTAAAAGCAATCTAGTCAAACCGTAGCAGGGTCTTCACATAGAGGACACTTTCACCACGAAATCAATCTTCAATCAAGTTGAACTCTAATGTAATTTAAGACATTATTCCATAACAACTTGAATAATTTGAAAATCAATTGCTTAGACTACTCCAACCACTTGCAGGATCCAAATTCATAGCGTGTGACAAAAAAACTGACTTGATCGTGTATAAATTCCTATATCTGCAGAGCTGTGACTGCAGTAATGGAGGGTAAAATATGTATACTAGGATCTTAGATTCAGGGTCTTAATTGTGAGGTACTTTATATTTTCTGAAGCGACGGTTGACACCTCTGCAGCTTCCACAATCCGCGAGATTTCTCATGAAAATAAGGAGATAAACTTCAAGCAATAATTAAAATTCCTTAATAAATGAACTCCATAAATGCAAACCGCTGTTCATGGGCATGTATCAACCCTAAATAAAAAATGCAAAAGTCCATCATGAATTGCAAATATGAGATTGTCAGCAATCTCAAAGTGATACGTAGAATATAAAGGCCATTAGCCAGTAAAGATCCCAATAATTTGGGGTCTGTAGGGCAGAGCTGGTATCCACGGGGGGTTTCATCAATCTTAAAGGTGGATTAGTTCTACACAACTACTCTTCGAGATTTCTTTTCAGCTCTTACAGATATGAAATCTAAGAAGGAAGCTCAATATATTACCAGGAGGCTGCTCAATTTGAACTGCAAAAGATGTTATGTGGAGAAGGTAATAAGCTAAGACACCTCCCACACCAATAGCAAACAGTTAAGAGTGTGTCCATGATTCTATGTCTAGATTAGGGAAAAAATCAGAGATTAACATAATTTAAAAACAGACAACAAAAGCAAACTTCCATTGGTTACAAAATACAGTTCAATTTAAAAAAAATCGATTAAGTGGAATACCTTCACAATAATGATTGCTATGACTCCAACAACAATAAGGAAGAGTAATGCCATTATGCACTTGTCAGTTGCAACCTGGTGGAAAAACTTGCAGTAAGTAAAAAGAAGTTATACCTAGGCCTGGAAAATGAAAGAAAAGGAAGTGGATATTTTAGAAATCCATTACCCAGTAAAGATCCCAATAATTTGGGGTCTGTAGGGCAGAGCTGGTATCCACGGGGGGTTTCATCAATCTTAAAGGTGGATTAGTTCTACACAACTACTCTTCGAGATTTCTTTTCAGCTCTTACAGATATGAAATCTAAGAAGGAAGCTCAATATATTACCAGGAGGCTGCTCAATTTGAACTGCAAAAGATGTTATGTGGAGAAGGTAATAAGCTAAGACACCTCCCACACCAATAGCAAACAGTTAAGAGTGTGTCCATGATTCTATGTCTAGATTAGGGAAAAAATCAGAGATTAACATAATTTAAAAACAGACAACAAAAGCAAACTTCCATTGGTTACAAAATACAGTTCAATTTAAAAAAAATCGATTAAGTGGAATACCTTCACAATAATGATTGCTATGACTCCAACAACAATAAGGAAGAGTAATGCCATTATGCACTTGTCAGTTGCAACCTGGTGGAAAAACTTGCAGTAAGTAAAAAGAAGTTATACCTAGGCCTGGAAAATGAAAGAAAAGGAAGTGGATATTTTAGAAATTGACCTGCCTACCAATTTCCTTCACCATTTTAGAAGCTTTCTTGATCGAGAAATGGATAGAGTCGAGCTCATTAACAATCCTACTCATTTGTTCAGTCTGCACAGAAAAATGGTCTTAGTTTACAGGCCATTGCAGTATCAAATATTTTACCTTTTTTTGCCTTTTCTATTGAAAGGAAAAGCAACCAACTCCAGGATATTACAAAGTAAAATTATGTTAACATTTCGGATGCTGTCAAAGTATATACCTGAGCCTTAAGAGCTGCTGCAGTTTCTGTTCCAACATTGATGGTGTCTTGAACAACCTAGCATAAAATAGAAAAAACATAGAAGTCAAATGTCAAACTCAGAACAAAGAGATACCATTCTACGATTTCCTTTTAATTTCCACAGGGCTCATGGGGAGTGGTAATCAATAATAGCTTTTGGCATTTTTCAAGGACAAAATCCAGGGAGAAATTAGGTATTGAGCTTTCATCTTATCAAAAGGTTAGAGAAAAGCTTCTGAAAGTTCAACTATTATACTAGCAAAACTATTAAATGCTACACTGGCTTCACATATCTCTATACATGTTGGTCCTCATAGTACAGGAAATATAGAAGCTGCAAAGAATCTTTTGCCAACTTCATCATAAGGCAAGCAATCCATAACAGAGCCAGAGAGGTCAGTGACTAGACTCTACCTTATTTGGGAACAATAGCGAGTTTGGAGCTTTTAAGTTAAAAGAGGTCTAGGTCAGAGGTGCTGAGATCCATTTGGCCAGCAGGGGATTGGACATTCTTTAGATTCTGATAGGTAGGCAATGAGTTAGGTGTTTTGGGAAGTTGAAATATGTAAACTTGATTTGAAACAGGTATAAGATTAGCAAGCATTTTCAGTAGCATTTCTTCTATGCAATCATACAAACAATGAGTTTAAAAGTAAGAATACAATAGGTTTCAGGAAAGCAAGCACTTCCGCATCAGGTTTGAGCTTTTAAGCTACTAAGCTTTTTTTTCTCCTTTTGGATTTAGAGTAACTGAATCACTTTAGCTCCATGTCAGATGTCCGTATGTAGAAGACCTATATGAAACACCATCATTGTTTAATAGCATCAAACTTTTACCACCTGCCCTTCTAAATCAAGTTCAAGGTTTAGAGGAACAAAGATTTCTGTTTTTTTCCTTCTGATTCCAGTAATTGAATCACTTTATCTCAACTGTTCATATGTGGAAGACCTAAATATTTACCAACAAGTTACAGATTGTTAGTTAGCCCTTTTTGCTTCCCGTCTACAGCTTTAACCATTCTTATTTCAAAGGCTACACCCAAGAATACACGATCAGGAAGTGATGCAGGAACTCTGCACTGCCTCAGATAACAACCAGTTCATGGGAATCAGGCTACTGTACTGAGAAAAATGCTGCAAGTGGAAGAAATTTCCTCCACGTCTATCAATCAGTTCTCCCTGAATTTTCTCTTCTAGAGGTTCCCTTATTGCTATTGTAAGACGAGAGAACGTCTCTTTGGGGATGAGGCTTTTTCTTATTTCTTTCAATCCTCATTAAAAGGTTGGACTGCCATCCAAGCTTTGGGGCCAGATGCAGTGCTAAACCTTGAAAGTAAAATGCAAGAAAGACAGTACTTTGAGAGAATTGAGTATTACTTTCCAGCGGATGAATAATTATACAGCAAGCCATCTAAATCTGACAAAAAAGAAATGAAAAGAGGTGAGGGATCATGGAGAATTTTTTAAAATTTTAGGCTTCGTTTGTTTGCTAGAAAGTAGTTTTTTTAAAAAAAACAAATTCCTAAAAAGTAGATTATTTTTTAATATTTGGCAGTGTCATAAAAAATAAACTAGAAAATATTTTTTAGTATTTGACTATACTATAAAAAATAAGCTGGAAAATCAATAACTTATTTCATGGAAAACACGTTACTAATATATTATGTCCTATATAAATATATTAGTAATTTATAATTTTCTAATAATAATACAATTTAAATAATTATATATATATATATATAATTTACTAATATATAATGAAGTATTGTACCACTTTAGTTTTTAGGTCCTTGATGGAAAGTGTTTTTCAATCTTTTAAACCATAAAATAATTTTCTCCATCTAAAGCTTAAGTTGTCCTTTGACCTAGAAAGTGAATATGTTGACAGTTTTCCACCATGTAGCAAAGCATGAGAAAGTAAGGAAAGTGCTTTCCATTAAACAAACAAGGCGCCTAAAGGGTTAGTCAGCCTCACCCAGAAAGGCTAGAATTGAAGAGTGCATAAATTGCATGAAGACAAAAAACATGTCACATAACACAAACTAACCTTTTTTCCCCTCTCAATTGCCTGATCAGTCTCATCCATCATCTGATTTCCATGATCCAGTAGTTGTTGGTTTGTCATAGCTGCAAAAATATATAGCATTTTTTTTTTACAAACAATTCCACAAAAAAACAATTATATTGCCTGCTATTTTGTTCAGTTAAACATACCACTTTAACTGTATCAAATGCAGGACAAGATTAAGAAGGGGAATGAATTGGTATATTGGAACATAAAGGAGAAAAAAATCCTTATTTGTAAAACAAGTTAGTAAGGACTATTATAGATAGCTCCCTTTGCCAGCAAGATGGCGACTTGCATGCCCTTTTTTTTGCCATGTCATTAGAAGTTTCTTTCCTTTACCCTCTATCCCTCAAGTGCAAAAAACTACATGCCAAATCCTGAAGCAAACCAGAAAGCGGTGGTTCATAACTGTCAAATTCAATAAGTTTGCTCATCTCCAAGGAGAGCACCAAACTCATTCACACCCTTCTGCTAAATCATCTATTACATTTTTCCTGGAACTTTTCCATCTCAAAGCAGTCACCATTTTAATGCTACACATTCTTCAGGTAAAATAGATTTTCTAAGAACCTTTTTAAAAAGAATCCAATGATTTATTGATAGCTATTCTGGGCAGGGCATCAATTGAAAGAAAATCTCAAGCTAGGAGTGAACAAACTTAGGATGACATGTTGTAAAACATATGAATCTCTGGCATATCCAATCCAGTTCAACATCATATATAATGCATTTCCATTGCAATCAAGGGTGGATGGATGTACTGCAAAAGGTTAGGGTGGGAAGCACAATCATTATCATGGTACCAACAAAGATGGATCCAACTTAATCCTACTTTGCATTCACAAAAAAAGAAAAACTTAACCCTACTCTCAGAAATTAAAGACAAGGTGAAAAGGCTAGAGTTAATATTCATCTCCTCAAATGACAACATGTAACACAAGCTGGCATAGCCTAGTAGCTGTGTACTCAGTAGCTTCCTTTGGTGAAGCAATATCGAGTCCTAATGACAACAGTTTATTTGATTATTATGCCCCCCCCCCCCCCAAATTCCCAATTTGTGCAGCCCAAGGTCCTCCCAAAAAAACAAAATGGCAACATGTACAGTGTACATCGCCGCTTATATCAGGCATTGCAGTGAATGCATTCCACCTTCAAATACTGAACATGAACTGCCCCTTTGTGAACGGCCTGCTAAGTTGCCATACATAACACCCTTAGTTTTGACATTTGGATCTCTTTGACAGAGAAAAAACAAGAGGGAGAAAAGAGTGCATCAGGCACTTATCCTTTCATGGATGCTCTCCGTGGTCCATTTCCCCTTTCTAAGTTCAGCTATCCCTTCACATTCCCAAAGAAACTCTACTCATTGATGTAAAAAGATATCAGAACTACAACATCTAACTCAAAGTAAAAGGAATCAGGATTGCTGGATGAAGCAGTAACAATTTGGAGGCAAATAGAAGTTCTAGTGAAGGAACAAGATCACTTTCATGTTTTTACTTACTTCCCTAGAACAAGTTGACCAAAAATAAGTGGTGGTGTTTCTATATATTAGTGGGTGAATAGGTGAGCGAGCATGTACTTGCATATTTATAGCCAAAGCTTCATGCTAATATTAGCATAGAAAATAATGTTAGTTAACACGATTACCTGCACCAAATTCAAAACTTAAGATTTTAGCATTCACAACCCTTATATATCAAAGAAAAGATTCATGTACGGCAGAAAAGGTCAAAACTTACACGAAGCTAGCAACACATTGTCATCATGTAACTCTTCATTAGGCCCATCAAACAGATCAACTCTCTTATTGTTTTCAAGATTGGTCGCATATCTGTATCACCATCACAACAATGTCGCAACAGAGCAAACAAGGATTAGAAGCATGGCAAAAGATTATTAAACAGTTGTTAATTATTATAGGTAACATGTAAAATAATTAACCACACGTTATAAAAGAAATCAGATATTTTTAGGCAACAGAAGTATTCTTGTATAGAGAACCAAATCATTAACAGGACAAATCACGAACGTATTTTATTCAGAAAAATGCAAACAATCATGTATGGGTTCCATCCTTCAAAATTCTGAGACAAAATCCCATGATCTTCCATTTTAAGGATAAATAAGTGAATTCACCAAGAATTTGAGAACATATATTCTCCAGTCATTCCGAATGTAACTGAAACAGTGGTTAGTTTAGATCAATTTGAAGCCAAATTCATTGACCATCCAAATATAATTTGCTAGTTGAGAGGAAGCTAAACAACTTTGAACAAAATCTCGTCACTTAAATAATAATCGAGGACTGTCTATTTCTATTACAATGACCAGAAAAAAGAGCCATTGACATACCATGGTGAAGACTCGTGGGCCATAACTCAACTTTTCAAAATCAACTAACAATCAGATTTGAAGATTGTAAAAAGACATGTGGAAGGAAAAGGCACAAATGCACACTACCAACAAAGAAAAGGCATTGTATATCAGGACCTATGATGATGCCAATTTACCACAAGCATCAACAAATTTCAACTTTTTGCTTTTTTCTTTTTCTTCTTTTGGGCTGGAAGGAGTGTCAAGTTTGAAAGAAATGTTAACCAAACAGATAAATTCCGCATAAAGTTTTTCTAAAAAAAACTAGCAAAATTTTTTCAAAGATTTCTCTGATGACTGAAAATGAAAATATGATCTTCAGAAAGTGAAATTAAGTTAGTGTTTAGTTTGGGAAAAAAAAATCATAATCCTATAACTGGAATAAACAATTATATCATTCCCTACTTCACCCAGTAGAGAAAAGATGACATCAGATTGTCTTTACATGTTTTAATTGTAAGAACAAATGTCATAGTTTGTTCATGATAATATCTCTTGGTGCCATACTAAACATAGATGGAAACTTATAAACTGATGACAAACTTACTGTTTTTTAAGAGCAACATATGAATTCAACTCTTTGATCTGCATGGTAAAGACAACAACATTCAGAAAACATTAGACATGCAAAGAGACACAAAAATATTAGACTCTTGATAAATCAAAAGCCCACCATTGACTGCTTTTTCTCATTAAGCATTTTGTTGGTGTCTGGATCATTTCTACTCTCCATATCCTTCACTTCTCTGTCAAACTCTTTGATAAGCCTGAAAAACAAGAGGACATTATTCTGATTCTAATTCTAATTGAGTAAGTATGAAAGAGAACTGACAGACAAAAAATAAAATGAAAGTGTCAGCAATATTTGTCCTATTAACCTAACAGTATTGTAAGGGATGTCCAGATTGTCACTCCTCTATAGACTTTTAGATCCTCAATTGTATCAAATCTTAGCAACTCGGTTCTTAGGGTTTACAATCATTGCTGTATCTACATGCTTAATATATTCATCCTATAATGCGGAGCTGTGATAACAGAAATGGAGTTGACTATAGAAGAAATTGACTTTCAGAATAAGAAATAAGTTGAAAATACATGGATAGGAAACCTGATAAAAGAAACGCCAGTGTAGTTGGTCAAAGACTCCCAGACCCCTTAAATTATACCATCTAATTCTCACAGAATCTAGGAAGACAAATAGTACAACCAACATCATAACAGCACTGTATAAAACATGATTTTCTTTTTCCAAGAAACAGAGGATGAATGTTGTGTGCTAAGGTAAGTTTTGGTAAATAACTGCTTAAATAATGGAAGGAAAATATACATTTCATGATTGGTCATTCATAAAGTAAATGTTTTGCGCTAAGGTGAGTTCCATCATTTGATGCATCCTGGTTCTAGATCATCCCTGACAAAAATCAGCATAATTAACAATCGACCCAACATTGCATTTTCATTCAATATCGAATTGGGAATTGTATTCAGCCAATGGTGAACCGTTAAATACAAACTAATAACATGCATATATAAGGAGAGCTAAAGAGAAGGTGCAATTTACAAATACCTCTTACACTCCCGCAGCTTCCCCGTAAGTTCTTCCAGCTGCCTACTCTGTCTATTGACATCCTTAATCTTCTCCAATTTCTGGAACCCATTTCTGCAACAATAACACAAACACGTTGCATTTCACTATCAATTCATACTAACCCACCAATAACTGCAAATGTCTTGTCAATTTTCTATAAAATCCATATCAATTAACCAACTAAACCAAGAACATTGACTCTTAAAAAAAATCCAACAAATCTCTCTCCAGCTTCAAATGCCATACAATTCAATTAACGAACATGCAAAGCTTATATTTCATCGTTCATTAATTTGATTCAATTACATTAGAAAGAAAGACACTGTAAAGAAAGGAAGAATTACGATAAAGCTCGAAAAATATCAGCGATCTGTCCATTGATCTCTGCTAGCTCTTCACTGATCGACGATAAAGGATCCATCTCTGCCTATAATTCAATAATCCTCAATGCACATATAAATAAAAAAAGAATTCAATCAATCAAGCTCAAAATGAGCTCGAAAACTAATCAAATCCTATTAAATTTACAAATGCATCTCGTAGAGAATACAAATGGTACCAAAAATTAAATTGAATCTCTTCACACAAATGCCTAAGATTGCAATTGGTAACTGAATAATCTGGGTTACGAATTTTGAATTCACAAAAAATAAAAAAAACAAAGAAATTCAACGATTTGAAATCCTGATCCGATCCGTACAATGTAGGCTATGGAATCGATCAAGGACCAAGATCCAAGGTTTTACAGTTTCTCTCGATCTTAAAGATGAAAAAAAAAAATACTAAATCAATTATGCAAGTATAAAAATGTCTCCTCGTGAATGTTCTGTTTTTGGCGTTGTTTTTTTAGTATTTTGTTTGATGAATTTTTATTTATTATTGTTTTTAGCTTTTTAATTCCAGTCTGCCAGTCTAATAAAAATTGTCTTTCATATATTTGTTATTTTGATACATGATAAAATAATATTTTTTTATTTTTATATTTTTAATTTTTATCTATTAAAATAATTTAAAAATATTATAAAAATAATTTAAAATTAAAAAAATTCAAATAGTTTTAAAAATATGGTTCAACTATAATACCAAAAAAGTTTGTTATCGTGTTTAAAACTATATTTAGATATATTTTAAAAATATGTATAGTATTAAAGGTATTAAATTAATATTTTTTAAAATATTTTTAGATAATTTTAATATGTTAATTTTAATAATAAAAAAAATATATCTAAAAAAAATTAAAAATAATTTTTAAGCAAAAACAATTTGCACCAATATATTAAATGCACATTATAAAAAGGTCTGATTTCACCACCACTAGATCCATTAAAAAAATCATGACCCGCGTGTTATATCTCTCATTTTTTTTATAATAATTTTTCCTCTTTAACACCTTGTTTATATTAAAAAGCAACAACACGTCATCCTCTCTTTAATTCAAAGGAAAAAAAATAATATAGCTAACGTATCATTTGTTGACCTAGTTTTTAGAAATCCTAGGGTCGTCGAAAACTTAAGACTTTGATATTTTTATCTAAAAAATTAATTTATAATCTATGTTTTAACTTAAAACACCTAGAAAATACCATAGACACCTTAACAAACCCATCAATGGCCTAAAACAAACAAAAATGCCACTCAAAAATCCAAAACCCATAAACCAAAAGACTTTTTAAGCTCAAATTCACTATCTCAAACAAGGTGAAAGACAATAACACCTAAGTTAAACTACTCTTATAAAATGAAACATTTTGACATCAAAATTAACTTTTTTTATGGCTGTAATTGGTGGTAATCAAGTTTTTTTTTTCTATTCTACTAAAATTTAGCCACTTTCTCTTTCTTTTATCAGACGAGGAACTAAGAAAAAATGAATTATTACTAAGAAAAAATGAATGATTAAGTTTTGGATCAAAATTAAAATTTAAAAATATTAAAGGACCAAGTTTGAAATGTAAAAAGTAGGCGGACCAAAATGATTTTTTTCATCTATTTCCAAAACTCACATATTTATTCTACCTTTTTCACTTTGACCTCTTTCTTTCAATCTCGTCCTTGCTCAATAAATTTTAAAAAACTAGACTTTAATTTAGCCCCAAAAATATATAGTTGAGAAAAAAATAGTTTGATGAACAAAAACAAAAAAGGTACCATGTTGAGTCCACAATGACATGCAATAGCATGTATAATGTTTTTATCTTTAATGTTTTTCCCACCGCATTTAGAGTTTCTTGTAATATTATGTTTTAAAATTTATTTATAGCTAAAGTTTTTTACTCCAATTTATTTTTGATTTCTTTTTTAATTTTAGAAATAGAAAAGGATAAAAAAAGAAGATAGGAAAATATGGTGGTTTTTTAGATTAAATTACTTTACAGGATAATTTAATTATTATTTTTATTATGCATATTCATATACCAAAAGAAGAAAATGATGTTTTTATGTTTTATTATGCATATTCATATACCAAAAGAAAATGATGTTTTTATGGAGAAATGATATAACTATAAATTTTATCAACTTTTTTTTTATTGTGATGATGTGTGTAGTAGTGATAAAATTGTAATTTTTATGTATTTTAGAAAACAAGTTTTTCTAATATTTTTTTCTTATGCTTTGCATTTTTATCATTCTATGCTTGCCTTATTTGTCATTATTTTTCTATCACAATTTACTGTAATATTTTATTATTGTTTCCTTTTTTTTACAATTTTTTGAAATTGTTTTTACTGATTACATTTTGATTACTTTTCACTCTACACTTGATCTATTATACCATTATTTTTGTTCTTATATTTATTCCTTTGTAATTTTTTTTCAATTTTTTTTCTTTATAATTTTTTATTAAAAAAATCTTATACAAAAACTAAAAAAATGATATTTTACTGTAACAATTACAATATTGTTTTATGTTTATGCCAAGTTAAAAATTAGCATAAGATCTTATATGTTTTTACTAACGTATATCTTTACTATATTTTATTATATATAAATATAAACTTTTTGATTCATAATTATATTTTTTATTTGATATCAAAATTAATAACATTTAAATATTAATTTTTTTGTGTTAAGAAAAAAAATTAGTCGACTCATAACAAAACAAGTTGAACAGAAATGTTATTATTTTGTTTTTTATATTTGTTGACATAGATTATTTTTGAAGTATTTAATTAAAGGTATGCATAGGATTTGTGATTTATAATTATTTAAAAATGCATTTTAAAAGTTTATATATTTATTTTTTAATAAAAAAAATTCAACTTGTGGCGACGCACGAGTAAAATATCCTGTATTAACTATTTTGTTTTGATAAACTACATGGAACAATTTATAATTAATGCTAGAGAAAATTTAATATTGTTTTTCTTATGGCCATTTAAACCGCTAATTAGAAACGCCTGAATGAGTGCGTGGGGGATATTCAATAATTCACGAAATTTGAGTATGAGTAAGCTTTTCTCTCTCTCTCTCTCTCTTTTTATTGTTTTTATTATTATTGGCGAATGCTGTTCTCTCTTTATCTCGTTTTGTTTTTGTTACCATTGACAAATGCTAATGGTCAAGCTCTAACATTGTATTTAATAAGAAATTGAAATGGCCTAGCCTCGCCCATCCATATTTGAACCTGACTTAGTTCAACTTTTATTTTAAATGGTTTTTTGATGGGTGGACATTTCGGATGTATTTGTTATTATGATAATTTTTATAATTATAGTTTAAAAAAATTATTTTATAAAACATATTTTTAATTGATGTTAGTTTAATAAAATATAGGTTTTTTTTTTAATTTAAACCCAATTAATTAAACATCCTGTAAATAAAAATAATCAACAAATTTTACAGTATAGTAGACCCAATAACATAAATGATTGATTAATCTACTTCACAGCACCAAATTTTTTTTTTTATATATATTGGCATACAAACCTAGTAATAATTACTTACCAATATAACAACTTATCATGCTTAATAATTGTCAATCACGTGAAGTTTTAAACTAATTAATCTACCTTTCATAACATTAACATAATAAATACTAATGCTTGATAACCTAACTGATTATGGCCTCCAATAATAAATACTAATGCTTGATAACCTAACTAATTATGGCCTCCAATAATTGACAAATTTAATTGTCAAATTAATTTGTAGTCCTAAATCAACATAGAAAGAATCATTTCTTGGCCAAATAATCTTGAGAAAACTACCACAATATTTATCTATAAATTTATTTAAATGAAAAGAAATTTAAAAACATGTTAAATAACATATTCAACAATATTACTTAAAAAATAAATGAAATTATGTATTTGGGATCAATAAATACCTCTCGACTTAAAGTGTTTTAAGCTATGCATACATTCTTTACAACCATTTCATCTTGTTTTCAAGATTTTCCATAATTAACCATATTCTTTATTCCTTCTCGAGCCTAAAAACTTAGTAGTAAATCCATGAAAATCATTTTTAATATTTACTCATTCAATTGAGTGAAGCTTACTCGTAACTTTAGGAATATGACGCCCTTTCCTGTCTTTACTAATAAATGTTGAATCACTATTGTTTAACAAGTTATCAACTAATGATCATAGCATGACAATAGTTATAACCTAATTCTAAATTAATAGCATGACAATAGTTATAACCTAATTCTAGAATTTCTTTTTTTTTTTCTTAGCTTGAACCTTAAAACTTTTTCTTTCTTTTCTCTTGTCACTACCATGTGTGTTGCAGCTATTGTATATATTAACCCCTCTAATAATGTTACAAACATTATTGGTAAAATTTGGAATTCCATCCTTTTCTAAATCATCATTTCTTTCTTCTAAATTATACTAATCAATATTAACATTGTGATTGCCATCAACACTGATATTATTATCATATAAGACTCAAGATGATTCTGTTCACATATACTCTTTAGTAGCAACAATATTTGAGAATATTCTGTCAAACTTCAAATATAAAGATGTTTTGATATCAACTTATCTAAACTTTTTTGCTCATTTTATTTCTCACACAAAATAAATAAATTATTTAATGCAACTTTAAATGATTTATTAATTATTGAACTAAGATTTAAACAAATTAAAGATTAAGGATCATGGCAAATAACCTAAATTTTTGTTTTTCACCACTCGTCACTGGAAGAAATTATTTCTAATTCACTACTCTGGCCCATACCAATTTTAGAAATGAGCTTTCTTCGTATCTTTCAATCCTTTTTGCAGCCATTATGTTTCTTCTTTAGTTGTATCTTGGTGAATGCATGACTAATTTATTCTTTAAAGGATGTTAATAAATATTTCAAACAAACTTTGTCGAAATAAGTATTTGATTTCATTCTCATGTTAATAATCTTGATGCCAAGGTTATAAAAGACATGCAATATTTTTTTAGTCCAAACAGCTTTATTCATAGTTTCAAGACCTTCCATTCTTGGATAGATGACATATTTAAAAGCAAACATAATAAATTATAATATAATTGGAATTTAACTAATCTTTGATGAAAGTATAACTATCATACAAGTATTTAAACAATCAATGAAGTAAACAAAATTAAAAAGAGAGAGAGACTTTCATTCCTAAAAATGAACTTAGACCATTAAATATATATATATATATGGTAGTTAAATCAAACATGTAAAAAAATATATATAATGGCATCAGCTAAATTAATTAACATACTATCAAAAGTTAGTGGCTAATGAAGAATTTGAAGGTAAAAACTTAGAAAAACATGTACAATTCCAATGTTATAAGTCATTAGACACAAACAATTTGGTTAATATATAATAATTAGCTAAATGAGATAACTTTATAAAGTATTAATTTTTATATATTAATTTGGGCAGTATATAAACTT